CCACATACTTTAATTACACGACGCTTCCAATTTGTTTAAAGGTAAATATTCAATCGGATAAAAAGAAAATTACCCAGAAATGCTTCTACAATTCGTCGCATCCTTACACCTTAAAAAAGCCCCGTAAAACCAATATTTTATATAAATATATATATATTTTTTCCCGATTTCACTTATAAACTAATATATGTGTGATACCTAATAAGTATTTCTGGTCAGTCCCCCGGTGGGATAGCGGTAAATCTTCAGATTTGCAACGCTAAAATCAGAAGTTCAATTCCCCTCGGTAGACATAGCAAATATCCCAATTTGGCTTTATTATAAGAAAACAAACTATTTCTGGTTAGAATACTACTTCATGAAGTCAAAATTGAGCTTAAAAATAAGATTATAAAACTGTTTAAGATGTAGAACTATAAACATGTCTTAAACATTACTATTTTTGTGTTAGTATATTATTGTACCATGGCATTTAGGCAGGGATGGGTTTTTTCTGTTATGTACGCGTAAATATAGTCTTACGTAATATCATGTAATAAAAAAAATGTTCCGGAAGATATTCTGGGTGAGGCCATCTCGAAAGTGAAAGTTAATTATTTATACTTATACCTAAAACTCCATTCCTTGTTTCCTAAACAACTCAGCAGAAGGCGTTTACGCAGTCGCAAACTTACCATAAAATGACTATTATACATCTTTCATCAGTGTTAAGATAACCTGAACTACGCCATATGGTACTGTTACGTCTCTGGTCGTTAGTTAATTTTCCGTATAATTTCTTTCCGATGAAACTTTAGCGACACAAGTCCTTTCTTAAGTAAAACTGGTTTATTCTTTCTGAATACAACTTTGCAATACACTTAATTTCCACAGTCGCGCTATAACAAACGCTATAATTCACAACGAACGTCTCACGTGCTCGACCCAACTGTCAATTACACATACATTGTTGCCGTCACTTCTTGACGTCTTATATATACAAGACTACCGCATATCTAGTAGCCTCCCGAGACTTCAGGAAGGGACGTGAACGTTCGAGAATATGACGTGTTACTAGCGTCACTTGACCCCCGCTGTCGTAACAGTACTTTTATTTTTCTCACTTTGAATTATTCCCTTGATTAAAAGAAATTGGAGCATTATTTATTCCCCTTGTTATGAACACACCAAAAACGTGGCATACAGCTTATTCTCCACCATCTTAATATAATTACAAAATATATTTGATCGCTAAATCTTGCTATGTGCAATGCTCATATTATTTCATGGTCTAATAAAATTTTAAGTACCACAACTCATTTGATTCTCTACATTACAAATTAATCAATGAAACTCAAAATGCGATATGACAGGTTATACACAAATGCTTTTGTGCAGCCTTCATTAACTGTAGAGAACGAACAAAAATTGTAATAATACAATCCTATAAGTTATTT